CTCCATCCATCCCTAATTAACCGAACCAGTGCGCATGTGTGAGGATCAAAGCGTGAACAACATCCGGTCATGGAACTGGAATGCTGATTATCTCTTTTCCAACTGATCATGACTGCCCCCTCCCTTCTGAACAGTTTTATATAAATTGTAATGTATTAGCCTGTAGAGAAATCACCGCAAACGAGCTTGTTCGCTAGTCTGTGTTTTCTTACAATGTTTGATGATGTATATTCGGACAATTACCACATTATTTCTGTGGTCATCCCGCGCAATTTGAATTTCGACATACTCCGTCTAGCACCTGAACAAACAGAAATTCTCGTGTACGTGTTCTGGCCAGTAGAAAGACGGTCAATAAGTGTACTCCGTTGCAGTCCAAGACTATCTGTTATTTTTGTTTCAGCTGTGAATCATTTTTTCCGTGTCACGTAGTTTGCTCTCAACGGCTGGTGCGTGAAGCTTCTTTTTAGTTTACATCCAGGCTGTTTCAATCACACGTCACAGGACTTCCGTCAAGCAACAACAGTGCCGATGACATCATCCTACTCATTGAAAACCAGACTTTGCGAAAGTTGACTCAGTGAGCAAACTTTCCGAAAAGGGTATAGTGCGAAGCTATGCAGGTCACTCGTTCTTCGTGAATGTTCCTTTCGTCACGCTATGATATCTCGCTGTCCGTTTGTGTACCCGTGTCGGACGGACATCGTGACTTCACCGCTGTCATTTTTGGTGACTGTCTGAACTTATACAATGAAGTGAATAGATGCGTGCCGCTGTTCGATTTGTTCCCACCACTGTGTCCTCGGGAGTGTTGATTACCTCGGTTGGAGTTTTCTGAATGCCACTTCCCACCGCGTCAACCCCCCTCCCTTTTCGTTTCGTGTTCTCCTATCTATTGTTCCGTGTACGAATAGATCTTTCTTTATCCAAACCTACCATCCTATTACTCCCGCTGCCGTTGTGCTTCTCAGCAACCAACAGAACCTCAAAAACCCGTCCCCCTGAAGACACAGATTGTCGATAGCCCACACCTGTTAGCCCAAGCACGTGCCGCACAACTGGAGGCAAATGCACGCGAGACGGCTAAGCGATTGCAACATGCGATGCAATCCGGTCCGTCAGTTTCCACACGGGTGGCAGAATTTATGGCCGGATTGCCGTACGTGTTCGATGCGGCCGCACAAGTGCGAGCTTCGCTCGGTCAGTCAGATGTACGTCTATTTTTGCTTTTAGCTCGTTCCCCTTGTCCACTCGTTTGGTTTTTGCTATTTTCTCCAACTCTGTATATTGAAGTGACTGGGCATGAATGCCTCTGTCTACGCGCTGCAAAGCTCAACACTGATTTTCTTGTTCAATTTCATTGTTACTATGAGCCTGATGCTTCTCGGCTTGCCCTTGATAATGGTTGGTCCCAATTTGTATATGACTGTCTGAAAAGCAGTGCTGTCTTATTCAGAGGTTGGACTGAGGCTGGTTTTCAAAATTATGCCAACCAACAAACATAACAGAACCATTTAAGGTGATGGGAACGACTATATCTTTCGATAAAAAGCCCATCCTGATTTGCTTTGTGGGCTGTATCATTATTTCCCATCCTTGTAAATGCTTAACAACTGCTGGTTCTCAGCTTTATCAGTTTCACCTTTTCGGCCTCCCGAGAAAATGTACCAGTATGTATTTAAATCATTTTGAAAATTTGTTTACATAATCTAGAACCTAAGAAGCTACCTATAAACCCTTCTCAAGAGTGCAATACCGATTTTACCATAGCACATCAAAACCTTACTTGATTTGAAACGTCCGAGCTTGGCCAGTCATCAGGTGATTTAGAAAAGAATGCGTAACATTAAAGACATAGCAAGCAGTCTACGTCACAAACATTCGTAGCAATATCGCTCCCGTTTGCGAAAGCCTACTGTGCAATTTTCCACTGCAATCCCGTGTCCTTCCTCCAGGACTCATAAGCGCTCGTGGTAGCTATGAGTTTCGATGCTCTTGATTCGTTTGGGGTGTGTAATACAACCACAGCACGTGCAATTTTATCTGATCACATTATGTGTGACATTGGAGTATATTGCGTTGATTCATTCCGCTCTTTCGCTCTTTTTTGCCCGCACGGGTCATCGTTCCATTTTCCAACTTACCAAAGGACTTGTGGATATCACAATGCTGTATGTATCACTTCTTGTCGTTGCGATTCGAAAATTGCAGTATTATTTACTAGTCATATTTGTGAGTAGTACGCAAAAGAATGCGGTTGTCGGCTTCTGTCAACGGTCGAAAATGAACGAGGCCTCTTCGAGCGAATTGCTGTGTTCAAAAAGATAACTACAGCCTGTTTCATTTACTATCCTGTGTGCTGCCGGAAATTGTGATGGCATGTTCAAAATGAGATATTTTGTTATATGTACACCAAATTATGCATACTTTAAGTCTGGTTCGCAATAAACAAGTCTGCTCGAGCCGGCACCGGTCTTCTGGAATCATAACGCTACTGGTGATGTTCTCTCCTTCATTCGGACTATTTCGTCCTACTACAACTCTGTCTTGTTATTAAATGGAAGGGGTTTCTTCTTCTGGGACACAGATTGCACTATACATTGCACCCACAGTCTTTCGCAGTTTGGTTTTGTAGTTTTGAATGAAGCGTATCCAATGCTGCGTTTAGGTTGTGGTCAGTCCACTTCACTCATTGCAGTTTTGTCCCCTGTTTGGATGTAGATATACATACTTTATCAATTGTACTTATGAAAAATGCCTTTCTCTCTTCCCCTCTCGATCTTTCGCCCCACTCATCTGACATCACACTCAATAGTTGCGACTGCCCCTGGGAACACAGTTTCAACAATGCCCTATGTGGGATCATGTTCAATTTCCTATTCCAAATCCACCACCCACTGGAGTGAGCCAAACTCCGCGCGTGAAGATTTCCGCACTAGATCGGGTATGTATATTCGCGGTTCCATTTCCGAATTGCTTACCGTGTGTGTTGGAAAGTGTTGTTTGAATTGATTGTTTGTTTTACTGCATCAATTGTTTTTATGATTGGTCCGCGTAAGACTTTAATTTTGCCCGTGGAACAATCTGATTGGTTCAGGGTTATATATAAACGCCTGTGATACCCTTACCAAATGTGATTCGTGTCCAGTGGACTAGAGAACATATATCGAGAGAATTCCCTGAAGAACCGACTTTTGACACCGTGTATCTCAGTTTTCAATCTCTTCGTTTGCATAGGTTTGAGTTTAAACATGTTCAGCGGATGGGTTGTTGTTACTTTCTTACACTGTCCCTTTTCTTAGGACTTCCTGTACCAGCTTCTTTATTTTTATGGTGACAAATCAATAATCTGTTTGTCCCTATGCCCAAACACGACTGCGCAACATCGGACATTGAGTGCCTAATATCTGATCTGTGAGGTAACCAGAGCTCTAATGCTGTAGGAACTGTAACGAACAGCGGCAACATATGTTCGCAGATAATCTCACCAAATGATGCACATTTTAAATACCAGCTACTTCCACGTGCACTAATAAATACATTCAACTTCCTGCCTAGTCGCACTCATGAGAAGTTGCATTTTTGAATATGTTTCCGCTTTTCAACAAACCGAAGTCAACCATATACGTAACAATGTGGGTTGTGATAATGCAGTGTTGCCCGTGTGTCACAGGTCCTCTAACTTGGTCGCTGATCAATGTGCGGGCTGACCATTGACGAATCATCATGCAATGTCTCATTCAGCCATTGACGTTTCACCTAGTTTGACCCACATTGGGCTGTTCACTAATTGGATAATACGTTGGAGGAAGGTACATTTATACCAGCAGTCAGGGACGGGACAATGAGCAAGCAGATGTGTACCAGCGAAAATAGTGTGTTAAAAATGCTGTGCGGACCAGGTGTAGCTCAGAATTATTTAGCAGAATCAGTTGACACTTCAGCTAAAGCCGTTGTAATGTTATATCCAGTCGAACGATGACCGAAGAATTGGCCAACTTCGGCTCATTTCAGAAAAGATGCCGTCTGATAGTTCAGAGCATTTAATCATGCGACCCTGGTGTGGTTTACCGCTATCAAGGAAATGCATGGCGAGTTCTCAATGGTGAAGAGCGTCGTTTCCAAGTTGGTTGAACTAGCACAAAAAATGCATCATGATAACTTCAAGTACTCCAATGGTTTGTTTTACCCTTCCTCGGACATGTATTCATTCCTTTAAACTAAAAAACTAGCTAATTTTGACGATACTACGTGATGCCGTTTACGGTGGGAGTTACCGCAGTTGATCCATGTGTATGCTGATTGTGGTATTGTCATTGTTGATGAAAAAGCTTCAAATGGGAAGCAGCTCCTAGAAAGAACAAGTTTCAAAGAAATCCACGGAAGGAGTCACTTTACTGTTTTGTCCAGGCATCACTAAAGAACGGTTATCACTGCAGTGTTATTCCAAAGTTGGCTGTCCAATACCAACCACAAGATGGTTTTCCAAGGACGTCGTATCTTACCATTCGTAAGTAACGCCCGTCGCCAAAGCAAAACGCAGCATTCTCGAATGTAACGTTAGTATGGTTGCCTTCAGACTGTTCTATGGTGTTACAACCAACGGCAAGGGAATGACTTGTTCTTTCAAATGTTCGTTCGGGAAATGTTTATTTGAATCGGTTTGTACTTGGTTTAACGATGAGATAGACATTCTCATGGCTATGCCTCTTGGCAGCCCTGGGTAGCAATCAGTGAATTTCGCTTCAGGAAAGGTGGGTTCAAACCCACACTGGGTCAGTCGGAAGTTAAACCACACGAGGATGAATACGATCGGATCATTACTTATTGATAAACAGTCTTCTGAGGAAGAAATCGTCGATTCAGAGTTTGATGATGAGATTTTATCAAATCGCAGTCTTGGTTTTTATTTAAAATCGCCTCGGACTAATTTTTTTCATTTTTTTTTAATTCTTTTAGTTTTACTTTTATTGAATATACAAAGGTACGATTTTCGGGAAGAGTGAAGCGACCAATCAAAGGGCTGCCACTCAACACACACGCTGGGGGAAGTCAGGCGGTGGTGATAGGATTCGAACACACGTCCCCCGGGGTGCTAATTTGTTGACGTTACCACCGGGCCACCACCGGTTTCTTATGAATTAGCTATATCTAAACATACGATTTCCAATAATCTTATCATAAGATAACTCGTGGTACGAGTCTATAAAAGTTTAAATTTATTTTGGGTGACAAGTGGAAATGTAGATCAAATGACAGTAAAGGTTCGAGGTATTTTGAAATGCTTCGATCTCTCAGTCTCTGAATTGTTAATGGAATTGTTAGGAACAGGTTATCGGGAAACAGAACTTTAATGCATTTCGTTGGTTTCCAGAACCGTTAACGCCATCAAACACTCAGAAATGGAAATTATTGCTAACCGAGGGGGTTGATGGAGGTCATGCATTAAATTCAACAGATGTGGTAGGAGATTTTGTTGCTGTACCGGTGTTAATATGGTGTTTCTATCAATTGAGTTTGTATGATGCAAAAAGCGAACATGATCAGTCTTGTGGTTTTTAGTCGACCATGTCTAAAACGGAGTGTGTAATCGCATCTGGAATAAGGTGACGCGTACAAGAGGCAAACGGATTGCAATCACGGAGACCAACGGAAAATGGAAGCAGGGGGGGCAGTTTACAGATAAAAAAACGATAAATGGATTCAAGAGCGGGGTACCTGGGGCTTCCTCTCGGCAGTGGGAGAAGTCTTCGCACTTCATTGGACAACTGCCGCCCGCCTAAGCTGGACGGCCCCTAGTCCATACAGTGTTGTCCGGTCCACGTTTAGCGTACATCCAGCTTATGAGACAATGGAACTGTCAGATTAGGGTATATTTACTTTCATGAGAGAAATGGATAAATTGTTTTGTTTAGATGTGAATTTCGTACAGAACAAAGAAAGCGTGAACTAAAACGGTAAGAAGCACTGGACAGCTGTTTTAACTTGGTTCAGTCTCAAAAGCAGTGCAAATCCACTGACTTAACTGGGGATCGAACCTGTGAGATTGCCGGTTACTATCATTGAACAGCAGGTCATCGTGATCACGGATTTTACCCGTTACATTTTTAAAAATTCCAAAATAGCCATATTTACTATTACTATGAGAAGCGGTCTTATCAGATGTTCGGTGGCCGAGTGGGTAGTAGTATTGTGTTCCGCCTGTGAGCTCCGGAGTTCAAATCCCTGTGGGGTCGATGGATTCGCCTTACTGATGAGACCAAACCAGGTAGGAACAGCTGTGAAATGCTTCCTAGCTTCTCAATTCAACTTACACGGCGAACACTTTGGTTCTGTTTCAAGTCGGTGTCCTCTGTCCCCCCAGCGTTCCTCTCATAGCTGACTTCCCACGCTGGTTTTTTCGAAGCTCATGATGTTTGAGGCTTGTATGCTAAGTTCGGCCATTTTACTTTCTTAATAATGGTGACTCACTTTACTTTTTCTTCCTCCAAACAGGCTCACATCCTAATGAATTCCTACTTTCCTTTAAATACTTTTCATACTTGACTGGGGTTAGCGTAGTTCACTTCGCTGTATTACGGTCTTTGCTGATCCTGCTAACTCGTTGGTTTTGATACCCTCTCTGTAGGATGTTTTCCTAATACGGCCTTGGTCCGTGTTTCATCCTGTCCTAAATGCACTCACATTATTGTCCTTCAACTCCCGTGTCTTGCATCTTCTCAATTTCTTTCCAGTCCTTGTTTACTGGAGTTCTCAATTTGCTCTTCGGCTCTACCTTCAACTTTCCTGTTCTCCTATTATTCATCCAAATGAACAACCAAAACCGGCACACGAAAGTGCATGGTTAATGGTTGTTCAAACTGAAACTGAGCAACTCTCGTGTTGTAATTTACTCTTGTAAGAATTGTTATGTTTTGTCTGCGAACACTCATTCAGTCAATCTTTTTTTGCTTCATCCATTGACCCTGTTCATTCCCGCTCTTAATCACTTCAACAGATCGGGCAACAGGTGTTTAACGGGATGGAGTCATTGAACTTAATCCAGTCGATTGTCTATCCGACGGCGTATCACTCATCCGAGAATATGCTGGTCTGTGCCCCAACCGGGGCTGGAAAGACTAATGTGGCCTTGCTGACGATTGTACAACTACTTCGTTCCCATCTCACCTCAGAATCTGTGCTGGAGTTGAAGTCCTTTAAGGTGAGTTCTCCGCAGTCGAATTGAATTAGCGTTTAATGAAGATGCATTTGCCCATAATAAACCCAAAACGAGAGCGTAGTAAAGTGACAGCGCACAATTTATGTTCAGACATATTTCGCTGCATCTCCCTTAAACAAGGTCATTTAAGTGTTTTATGATTTTTTAAAAAATAATATGATAGACTGTTATATGTGGTGTAAGTTGTGCAAAATCACTTTGCTGTATTCTCTGTTGAACATCATTTGTCGATTTGAATACTCTAGTTCTGGCTTCGGACGGGTAAATCTCACTCCTAATGATTTTTTTTCTATAAAATCGGTTTCACTGTGAAATATCCTTCTGTATGATCAAATTGTGTTCTGAGAAATCCGCATAGCCTTGGAATCTTTCTAGAGGGCCGCATAGTGGAACTGTTCGTTGGGCATTGGAGTATCTGAGAAGTGCGTGTCGATAGTCAAGGAGTTGTATTATCCTAACTGAAGTCATATCACGGTCATCCTTCACTACTCCTTACGGTTTCCCGCGGAGTTCTACAGGGCTACCCTATATCCCCATTCCTTTTCAACTTTGACCTTAGAGAATTTTCTACAAAACACTTGCAAACAGTTGCGTTAAACTCCTCCCAGGGAGCAGAATTCTTGATTTCAATTATAGTTATGACATTGCCTTGCTGGGAGACAATACACGCAGTCCAACACACTTTGAACTACTGGGAGATCGAGGTATCCTGGTATAGTAGGTGCTTAACACAATTCAAGTGCAAAGTGCTTGTTCAAGACTAGCAGAAGCCTGTACCTGCACTCACCCAATGGGGTGAGTAGTTTAGGGGTACTTCGAGAGCTTTATCGTATCTGGAGGTGACGTTGGGGAGGAGATTATTATATATTTCATTTCACATCCGTCTGAGGCCAGACTGTGCCCGATACATATCGATGCCCAATTGAGCCGGTGACCATTGTCACAACCGGAAAAGTGTAGGTGTGGTTCGTACGCCTACTCTTGATTGGTTTAGAATCAGGATTTTTGGCCAACTCCCCTAGGTGAACTACCAACCCGGTTAACTGCTGAAAGTTCATCCTATTGAGTGCATAAAGCTTTTACTTGACTTCTAGCCCCGGATGTGTCGGCTTTCCGTCCTCTCATTTTGGTGCGGAAACCGCCACAGGAGGGCAGTCAATAGGGCTTCCTCAGCAGAGGCTATTTGAGACACTTGATCTTATGGGAGCATTTCACGAGATGCAAGCGAAGGGTGACCAGCCGCAACCCTAGACACTCACCCCGACCATACTGAGGACCTCGGAAGCTGAGGAGGAGATTGCATCACAAATAACAAAAGGTGGGGCAGCTTTTGCCAACCTGCGACACATGGCGTCGCCATGACAGCCTGCTATCCTTCAAGGTAAGGGTCTATGTCGCCCAGGTTCGCAGTGTTTGCTTTACGGTTGCGAGACCTGGCGCTTCCGCGTTGAGGATGCTAATGGAACTCGTGTATTCGAACACAGGGCGAGCAATGACAAGGTTCTTCTTTACAGCTGTCATCGCACAACTCTTTTTTCTCATGTCTGATATGTATTTTTATAAATATCGTTAAATTTTGTAATTTTGTAATTGCGATCCTGTTTTACTTAACCGTATCGGTCGTTCTTCTGACCCCTATCAACCAAGGTTACCCTATTCATGAACCGTATGCAAACTTTCTCTCCAAAGTGCTGCTCTTTTGGATCAATAATCTCTGTAACAGCGACACGTTTTCATTTTCTCCACTCCAGATTGTCTACCTCGCTCCAATGAAAGCCCTTGCCGCTGAACTGGCAGAGACATTTACAAAACGTCTTTCACCGTTGGGTCTGAGGGTTCGTGAATGTACCGGGGATATGCAACTAACAAAACAGGAGATTCTGGAAACACAAGTTAGTTTGATAATATTACTTATCATTAATTATTCTGGTCGGTTTGCCACACCAACACTGACAATCCATTACCTCGTCGTGTAGTTCCGGCATCCGAACAATTAAATCGACTTCAGGTCACTTATAAGGTGTTCCATTTGAATCTGTGATTTGTATATTCTGCGTGATGGATAGCTTGATGCTGGAACACCAATCACCTAATATAGTTCTGGTTCCTTGCAAGAATGTGCCAACTGTGAGTTTGTTGGATGTGTGATAACTTTTGCATAATTATAAAAATGTGCCTGGATATATTTTATTACTCGGTGAATCTTTACTAGGTATGGAATTAACCTTGTACCCGACACCCCTCCTCCATATCTTGTTTTTTTTTACAGATGCTGGTTAGCACACCGGAAAAGTGGGATGTCATCTCTCGAAAAGGTTCGGGGGACGCCACACTGGTTAAATTGGTCAAACTATTGATCATTGACGAAATTCACTTGCTGCATGAAGATCGGGGTGCGGTTATTGAAGTGCTTGTCGCTCGAACGCTTCGCCAGGTTAGTTGATATTCCTGAGTCTGTCCGGTAACATGGCTTGTCGGATAGTAGAATGACAATCACATCCCCAAAAGGACCCGGTGTGTTTCTCAGGTTGACGGCAACGTTGATTTTGGTTGCTTACATGCTTACTCACTTCGTTATTGGTAGCATCTATAAAAAATGATCCGACCCCGTGGGTATTTTGCCAGGGAACTTATGTAATCCAAACATTCAATGATGCTCTTGTGTTTCGATTGAGAATGCACATATCACCGGTTTCCATCACGCCTCGTCTCTATGGGGTTCGTTTTAACTCACGAGTTTGCCGAACGAACTTTTGAATATGGACTGGGTTCACACTACTCGATCCTTGAATAGGCGATTCCCATATCTTC